GCGCGCGCATCTTAAAATTTCACTCTCATCATTTTTTCATAACGCGCCTAAAGAAGTATAACTTCAAAAACGTGATATTCAAATACATGATCGGTAATATAGTTGTCTCTTTTCCTCGCGGTCCGTACCTGCTATGTTGCTAATAGCGCATCGTCAGTGCGTAGAGTCAAAGAAATAAGGTCTTTATTCTTACGCGTATAGCAATAAGTGGTAAAATTTTACGAGCTTGCATTTTGAACTATCATAACTCATTGACGCATGCGTTTTAATAAAGACCTTTGCATTAAATGTAACTTTGAATGTTTAAATAATGCCTTACATTGTTTTTGACTACGCGATCATCTTACGGAGCTCCGCGTATCGTCCAATTTACCTTTTGGACAGGTTTCAGCCACGATTTTGTTCGTGATGTTGTATCTAGGGTATTTAATATCGTTGATTTTATGTCAACATTAAACGTTGGTAAAAAGTAGGTTTCGAACGATGCCCAAGTGCGCGGAGTACCATTCTGTTAAAAGTTTAATAGATAGATACTAGAATCGATTCTTGGATGATTCTTTAAACCTAAACCTTAATTTGACAATAGTGTATCCTTGTCATTATCTATACAAAATGAAAAGGATACTCTGATGAAATTTAGTTTAAGTTTAGAGAATCATGCCAGAATCGACACCAATGAATAATTAAATTAATCCATTTTATGAAAAACAGAATCAGCAATTGCTGCAATCATAGACATAGTTATAATCATAGATATCGCTTGAAGTGAGACCGATCATTCATCTATGACACAGTTTTGTATCTATGGCTCTCACTGAATGCGGCGGATATGCATTCACATCGCACAACGGATCGCTTTACGGAAATTTCGCATTCTGTAAAAAATATTACCACCATGTGAAGCGAGATGTCATTCTTATCGCAAGTGAGTTGTAGTGTTACCATTTTAAGAAATTTCGGTAAGTCGAGATCATAGGTAAAGCATGTGTCTATGGTCGTGATACATCGACATAGTTCATAGAGCAACACGGAAAGAAGTAGGGATATAATCCATAATACTATTAAAATCATTCTGCTACTTTTTGCGGGGGGGGGAGTATGCACACAAAGGCAGTCCAATATACATTCGAAAAAAAAAAACTGTACTTATGACACACGCATAAAAAAATAAACAATACACCGCCAAATCCTGCACACATATTTATATTTTTGTGTACGAATAAGTCACGCCATATATTCATTTCTTGGATGACAGTCACTCGCGGACCGTTAAAGAGTTCCGAAAACTACTTATAGTACTTAATGTCGTTTTTTCGACAGGTATCTAATCAATGAAATCGAGTCTGGCATGAATAACGGATGCAAAACATGTACTGACAGGGTTTTTGTTCTGTGAAACAAGTCCGACGATTGAATTTTAACAAAATAATCTTGGTTTATTCTAGGTTAAAAATTGTTCGTGTATTATCTAAAATACTTTTTTAAAATAATTTTACCATGTAGAGTAGAAAACGTTATAGATCTCAAGACCGCCCATTAATCTTACAAGAAGGAAAAGGGCACTAATTTCTTCGAAATGTTGTAAGTATACGTAAATTACAGTAGTTTTTATTTTTGTAAGACTATGTTAACCACTTGTTTGAAAAGCCACCATTAAATTGACTGGCATAAAATTTGATTATTTTATTTCCACCGCACAAACGTTGGTCCATGTCGCAATACAGCCAGTGTCTATGGACATTTCGCTCGCAGGCACTGGCACATTAGAAAATAAGTTCTTTTAATTCTTTTTTGATTTATGTTCTTTTTATATATTTTCGGATTTATTTATAAGTGTCATTGTAAAAAGAGAATAAGAGAAAATTTGATTCGTACATATTGTTATTTTGTAGTTGTGAATATTTTCGAATATAGTGCTCCAAGTACGTATTAATAGAATGTAATAATATTGATTATTTTCTTATCTCAATACTTTACTTTTATAAAAATCATAAAGTTTGTGTTAAAAGAAAAAAAGAGTATCATTAATAAGTTTATTCTGACCCAGGCCCAATCATAATTGTGACATTTATTGTTGTTATTCAACAACTTTTTTTTTTTATTTCAGCAACACGCACAACAAGTCCTTGGCAGGCTTCGCCTCCATCTCAACAAAGATCTCTGTTAAAATTTGTCTAATGACACACGGCCTATTGTTGCGGTGCTAGACTGCTTACATTATATTCATGAGAAGTGGTCACTGCGTCAGCTACATCTACAACCTGCAGACCACACCAGACAGGCCACAGTAGGCCTATTCGCCAACTGCTTTTGACAGATGGAAGTAATAATCACAGCTATTTAGTGATCCACTACTTCTGCTTTATATAACACCACTCAGATACTTGTTCAGAAAAGCATCGATTAATATTCAATTTTCTCTTTATTTATATACAAAAAAACATAAAAATTGGCAAATAGGCTGACGAGCATCTCTGACAAAAATGTAACAATGTAATGTACAGTTTCAAAGGCATCTGTCATAATTTATGAATAAAAATGTTACATATTTATTTTAATGAGTTTTACTATAAATAATCACCCTTTTATTAAATTATCTTCATTTTCATTGCAATGGGGGTTTACGCAACTCGCCGGTCTATATTATATATCATTCAGAATTAAGTAGGTATGTATATTAAATATAGGAACTACACAGAAACTAATTCTTAAATAGTTAGTTTTTATGTAGAACATTTAAAACGTTCAATCTAAATAAAGAGGAGCCCGGAGACGCAGGTGCTTAGAGTATTCATCCTGCAATCATGAAAATTAGGCAACTTTTGGTAATTGTATGGGTGACCAAAAACTTATTATCTCGATCTTCTCCGTGTTTCAGATGACACATCAATCTATTGGTCCCAGCTGCATCTGCAGTCCTTAGCACTGATCAGTCCGCACTAGGTCCTACTACTAGGTGGGTCACGGCCAGTCTCCCTATTCCATCTGCCTCAACAGTGGGGGCAGGAATAGGCTGATGATGAAATAGTTCAATAAAATCATTACTTTTGTAGTTTACTGTGGTGAAGGGTTAAAAATATGAGTGACTATTTTTTAAATCTAAATATATTTATTCAATTAACATTAACTACATTTAATGTTTACACAACACCGTTGCCTTATGCTTTTTACTAAAGGTTCTTTTGGTCTTATTATGGTGATAAAGGTACAGTCTATACTACCAACAGCTGCAGGCATTTTAAATTTCTCCAAAAATCTGTAACAAAAGTAAAGTTTATTAAAATAACTCCAAAAAAATATACCTAGTAGTTTTTTTAAAGGTAAATTGGTCTAAACCAAAGTTAAATGTCGTTTATTGACTCTCGTTCCTTCCGGTTGACTGGTAGAGAATGCTATGCTGGCATTAAGACCGCCATATGTAATGTAAAGGCATTAAAAATTAATTAAATAAAAAGTGGTCCTGAATAGCAGTTAGCATTAACTACTTAAGTATTAGATAATTTAAATAAACTACAAATAGAAATTTTATTACCCACATAAAATATTCTAAAATAATTAAAGTAAAGGATTGCAAAAACTAAGAAACACTGTTCTACTTGAATTATATGTAATATTTATACCGGAGGGTCTACTTTATTATATCTTTTGTACACCTATTTGCCCAAGTATTTGTTTAATTGTAGTGAATCAAAGTTTACTTACCAATTCTTTATCACTTGGCATTGTGATGCATTTTGCTATGTCTGGATGACATAAAATCTTAAAAAGGTGGCAATTTCATTTACAAGTCTTGATATTGATGGTTGGGATAAATGTGTGTAATTTTTTGCCCCATTATCCTTAGTAACTCCCATTTGCACAAATGAAAGTGTACACAGTATCTGAAACAAAAAAAACTTTTTATTCTTATATAATTGTTATAAAAAGTTTCTTGGTTGGGTTTTATTTTTGTTATGCAATTAGGTACTTTACCTTCATTCTATTGGATAATCCTTTTCCATTACACTTGGTTTCTTCTAAATGAATACTTTAAATCATTTTCCAATTGTTGAAAAAAATCTTTATTTAGTCACATATTCATCTTCACATGAAATTACTCAAGGTTACACAGAAATTGGGCTTGTAGGCGGCTTCTGGCCAAATCTACATCATACATGGGCTTTCTATAGTAAAAAGCAAGTAATAGAGTGAGTCATATGAAATACTAGATAGACATAATTTTAAAGAATTATTACTTAAATAAACAAAAGCAACGTAATTATAAATAATTTAATAATTACTCTTGTTTTATGATGATAATAGTCTACAGAAATACTCACTTCGTACAATCACTTCTATTACCGCAGCTAATGAGTAACTTTTATTTTGACAGTTACTTTCGAGTGCGGTTTTTAATGTGAGGTGTAAACAAGCGCTGAAATTCGTTACAGAATGCCATTGAAACGTCAAAGCCATTTAGGTATGATATGGTCTCACCTGTGATAGTTTACTAAACCGCCACTCTCACTTAGTAGCGCCAGTGTCGATTCTCACTCGATTACAGAGATGTGCATAGAGTAAGCCCTCATTCGGCCAAGTTACCAAACTTTAAAAATAAGACTATTTTAACTTTACATTCATTAAAACTTTAGACTTGAGCCTCATATCTACAAATATATCTAAAAAATAAATTTACGTGCTTTTTTTCACGCATAATAACTAAGTCGATATATCTCGATTTACCAAAAACTTTTAAAATGGTAACACTACAAATTACTTAGGATATGAATGACATCTCGCTTCACTTGCTTGTACAATTGGTTACAGAATGCGAAAATTCCGTGAATCGAAACCTAGAGAGCGAAAGCAAAATGGATCCGACACACACAGTGAGATGAGATTATGGGTTTTACAGAATTGCACTACTGGTCTACACCAAAGCGAAGCGAGGGCGAACCACTAGTTTGATATAAGAATGTAGTTCTTTAAGACGGTTTTTTAACACAAACATTTATTTTTAGGTTTGTGCTACCTGAATCACCCAGGTGGCTACTGAGCATGGGAAGAAAACAGGAAGCCAAAGAGATTTTACAAAAAGCAGCCAAATTCAACGGACGCGATGTACCCGCTGATCTGGACAAAGTTCTAATGCTGCACAAATCGCAGCCTCGAGATGAAGAGCCGAGTGTAATGATGTTGTTTAGGGGTTATCTGCTGAAGAGAACAGTTTGCCTGTTCCTAGCTTGGTTCGCCATGACGATTGCCTATTACGGGCTTTTACTCAACATCGGCAATTTCAATTTGGGTAATTTACACGTCACTTCTATCATACTAGCTGTGGTGGAAATACCGGCGATAGCGATTAGTATACCCATATTACTGAAAGCAGGGAGAAAGATTCCTATATTCATAAGTATGCTCGCTTGTGGATTGGCTGTCGTAGCCAGCGAAATATTCTCCGTTTCCCTGAACGATGATTGGATCATGATAGTGTGCCTCATGATCGGGAAATTTGCGATCGGATCGACGAACATGATGCTGCCTATCTTCACGGCGGAACTGTACCCAACTGTGATCAGAAACCTCGGTGTTGGTGGTAGTCAAATAGCAGCTGGGTTGGCGCTCATTGGCATCCCGTACTTATGGAAATTGGTAAATTTAACTTCACATTTTCTTTTGCTTCGAATCCATTTCCCATTCTGGGAAAACCTGTTTTAGGGTTATATTTCTCCGTGATTTTGTATTCGTTCGCCTCAGCCTAAGCCGTTTAAATAGATAAGCGATGAAAATACAGACAATCGTGCACGCATCTATTATTATTAAAGTTTGTACGTATGTTTGTTATTCAATCACGAACGGATTAGGAAGGTTCTTGTGGGATTCTTAAAAAACCAACTACAGCTAGTTCCATGTATGGAAGATTATATGGGGATTTGTTTTGAATTCTAAAGTCTACGCAGGCGAAGTCCTGTATAAAGTCAAGTTTAGTTTAGTTAATATAGGATTATTATAACCAGTTCTGTGTCTTCTAGCATACTATGATGTATTGTATTAATGTATTGTCTTCCCTTTTTTCAGACTATATTCAGTGACCATTTACCTATGGTAACGATAGCAGCTCTTGGTACTTTCGGTGGAGCCGTAGTACTGCTCTTACCCGACACTGTCAAAACTAACGCGCCTCCGCCTCAAGTTGACAATAAAATGTAAGTATAACTAGAAAAATATATCTTTTATTTAACGTAGGTACAGACAAGCTAAGACAATGTATATACAATAACCCATCAGGCACTATAGCTTTCTACATAATGAGTGCTAGTAAATAGTGCATTCGGTACAACCGCGACTTTACACTACCCAAAGTGCTATTGAAAAGAGCAAGAATGGAGTTAAAAATATAACTTACCAATTCTTTACATATAATATTGCTCCGAACCCCAATAAAAATTACTGAAGGACTTGTCTTGTCTAAATTATGAAGGAAAATAATAACGATACTACCTCAAACACCTAGAACCAGCAGAGAATCGAACAGAGATAGCTGCATTACGAAAACCCCTGTGCGAACCACTTGATGTCGCCCAAAGAAAGATTGGGTATCTCTAGCTATGAGCGCCATCTATTTTGTTTCTAATATGGTATCACTGTTTCACAGGCCAGCTTTCGATAGCAATTCACCGTGCAACGGAACATTTACACTCGCGGACGACAGAGGGCATTAGCGGCAAATCAGTGTTTCAATTGTTACCTAACTGTGCTGTGCTGTGGTAATAAATAATAACATTGAATATCTGCCAAGTGCAGATATAGTGAGAAAGTTTTCGAATTTAATACGGATAAGTATTAGTCATAGTTCATTCCCGAGGCATTATGCGACTCTAAAGACATTTGACAATTTGCCAAGTAACTAATCATGTTTTTTTATTTATAAAATTTTAGTTACCATCTATATATCTATAAGTACTATTTTTTTGTCAATCAATAGTACCTGGTTGAAAATTGATTCCAGGGTATTTAAAAAGTATAAGTTAGTTTGTGCAATAAAATGTGAACATGATATAATTATACACATAGGTAATTAAAACCAGTATTCCTAAGGTTTACACGTGTATATTTTTACAATTTAAATTAGACCAGGGGCGGTTTATGCACTAGGCCCGCTAGGCCCGAGCCTAGGGCGCCGTGGCAGAAGGGGGCGCCACGGGCCGATAAATTTGAAAGATTAGAAGCGAGAAAGCGAACGTTTTAATCGGGTCCACTCAAACGTCAATATCGCCAATATAAAATATATATATGCTCCATTCCTACCCACAAACCTACATAATATATGTATGATTGAAATTCTGTTTCCGCTAAATTATTTTTGAAATACACTCCCGCTCAAAAGTATGGGTTCACTTCTCGAAATTTTCAGCTTCGGTATAAGTTCCATATCTTGGTGGAAAAAGGTCTTAAGAGAATTTAATGAGCACCGTTTTGAAGGGGACAGTTTTAGCTTCACTTTGCCATTTTTTATAATTTTTTACAATTTTTTTATAGTCCCCACGCGCTTTTGAACATGGCAGTTTTTTGATGTTTTTTTGCCCACTGGAAACGGGCTGTCTGGCTGTTAAAAAATTTTCCTTACAATTTCATTCATCGCAGTTTCAAAGAGGATATTAAACACTGCATTTTTGTTTTTGAAAAAGTATCGTGCGATTTTTTTTACCAAAAATATTCTAATTTTCGACAAAAATTGATAATTTTATTCAATTCGGCGAATCTTGAAAACGGCGGGTGATCGAAGAAAATAGCAAGGGGGTTTAAAGTTGCAATAGATCATGATGGACATGGTAGATTTATTTCAGATTTTTTTTCCGACATTTGTTTTTTCATACTCTTGCAGTCGAAATGATTTAAATTTTCTCATGATTTTTTCTTTTTTTTAGACGGCGCAGGCATTTCTTTTATTGGTTTTATAACCATCTTGACGTAATTTTTACTAAAAATCAAATTTCGCACAATTTTTTGTACGTTTTTTTCATTTAAAAAAAATAATTTTTAGTTCAAATTACGTCAAGATGAAGATGAAACCAATAAAAGCAATGCCTCAGCCGTTTAGAAAAAAGAAAGAATCATGGGAAAATTAAAATCATTTCGACTCCACGAGTATGGAAAAACAAATGTCGGAAAAAAAATATGAAATAAATCTACCATGTCCATCATGATCTTTTGCAACTTTTCACCCTCTTGCTATTTTCTTCGATCACCCGCCGTTTTCAAGATACGCCGAATTGAATAAAATTATCAATTTTTGTCAAAAATTAGAATATTTTTGGTAAAAATTATCGCACGATACTTTTTCAAAAACGAAAATGCAGTGTTTAATATCCTCTTTCAAACTGCGGTGGATAAAATTGCAAGGAAAATTTTTTAACAGACAGACTGCCCGTTCCCAGCGGACAAAAAAACATCGAAAAACTGCCATGTTCAAAAGCGCGTGGGGACTATAAAAAAAATTGTAAAAAATTATAAAAAATGGCAAAGTGAAGCTAAAACTGTCCCCTTCAAAACGGTGCGCATTAAATTCTCTTACGACCTTTTTCCACCAAGATATGGAACTTATACCGAAGCTGAAAATTTCGAGACGTGAACCCATATTTTTGAGCGGGAGTGTATAAAAATCATTTATTCTAGCCTGTGCTTTTTCAACTATTTTATGGAGAGGGGAGAGGGGGCGCTAATTTCGTCAGGCCTAGGGCGCCCGTTTTCGTAAACCGCCCCTGAATTAGACTAAGAATGTAAAATTTAAAAAATTGTTTCTATTAAGATAGATAGATTTTGTTAATATGACTTCTGTATTGCAAAATACATATTCTGTAATGCAATAGTGACAACATCGTTTTGAATATTTGGAAGATTTTATTAAAATCCTGCGATAACCCGAACATCGAAGTGGAGTGAAACATTACACGAATTAAATATGAAACAAATTACAAACTTCGTAGAATCCAACTTCAGTTATTGAAATTTATCTATTAATACGTAAAAAATAAACATAACTTAATTATATTACTTATAGTAAAAAAGCTTTAGTTTAAAAACAAGCTTTAATTGCGTGTAAAAGAACGAATTCATTACAAATAATTTTAATCTGATAAGAAATATACCATTTTATATGTGAATTGGGTATATGCATTTTTTTTAAATTTAAGCGCACTGATACTTTATTTTTCATAACAGCAACATGTCACGCTTTTATTTCAGAATGGGATATAATTCAGGTACCTATAAAATGGTATACTTATTTCTTATTTAAATTATTTATAACTGTTTGATCTTTTTAAAAACAAGTAATAAACCTTGTTGTTAAAAATAATATGTTTTTCTTTATATTTATTTTTAACTTTTTAGTATGTATATTATGTTTACACATCCTCATACCGATGAATGCCATTATTATACTCTTTATTGCATCATATAGTTCTAAACAAAGTCAAATACATAGTTATCAAAGGTGGGCTTATCTCTAAAAGAGATCTCTTCCAGTCAACCTATGTGGTGTCGAAGATTCCAAACTCGGGAAATAGAAAGTGCAATAAAAATACTATAATAAATACTTTATATGTTTTTAAAATAGTTTCAAATACTCATTGTTATTTTATAATTTTTGCGATGTTGTTCCTATTGCCAATTGTTATTAGTACCTGTTTTTAATGTTTGTACAAAATATTTATTGTCCTTTAAACAATAGTTAATACATATGTTATTAGATATAGTTAAAAATAAGAATAACTTTAATGTTCTATCGGCAATATTGTGAATACAGAACCACGACGATGGATATTTTATCAAAAATCATTTCTTTTAAGTTCTAACAAGTTAACAATTAATATTACTTGTAATTAGTAATACAAATGGGTCAAGTAATTATAATATAGGTCCATGTACTTACATTAGAAACTAGATATTTTACGTAAGTCTCAATATTTTGTCGAATTTGTAGATTTTTGAAACAATTGTTTATTATTGATTAATTATACTTAGTTCATTACAAAAACATTTTAGTAAAACCAGTTCCGTCTACGAGAAACTATCAATTACATAATTTTGTAATAACGTGTTGTTTTTTTTAATACCTCGCCATAATCGTTTCACTTAGTTCATGTTTAAACGTGAGCCTGTTTGGATGAGAAATTACTACTGTATTCTTATTAATATTTAAGGAAACTGCTATTTTGCCCTTATAAGCTTGTATAGATGAAATCAATATTTTCTACAGAACGGTAAAAAAAAAAAATTTTTCGGTTTAATACTTTATCAAAGATAAAGTTTACGTAAGTACTTAACCTTAAACTCAAATAATTTATTGCAACCATAATGTGTACATACAGTGGGTGGTAGGTACTTATATAAACATGAGCATTATGGACCCCGTCGGGCACGCAATTGGTTATTAAGGATGAGAGTATGCGCTTCCCAAATGAACAACACTATCACTAAAATTATAATTGGAAGATAGAGATTGTTTCATGTGGTTATTTTTGATTGTGATAATTGGATTTTTATTTAAATTAATGTTATCTTATTTTACTATATATAAAAAAATAAAATAAGTGTATATTAATAATTAGTGATTTTAACATGAAAATATTCATTAACATTATAATAAAATTTGTTAATTAGAAATTTCTTTAACTTACTTATAAATGTCAAGTAATTATTTTCATGCATCATTGTATTAGGTAATTTGTTATAAATTTCATTAGATGAATTATATGGGCTTGATTATGTGAGTTTTAGTCTGGAATTTGGCAATATTAATTTATTTATGTGTCGAGATGTGAACCTAGATGAAATGTTTTGTCGTCTACAGTAGAATTCGTTATGCTTGCGCCCAAATTTGCACATTTCCAAAATATACAAACACGATAGATGAGGTATCCGATACTCTTCAAAATATGGTCTACAGCTCTCAGTCTGTTCGATGTTACTACTTTTACATGGTAGGCAACAAATGCGCGGTCCACACTGTTACCCCACAACACCACACCGTAACTGTGGATGGAAAGTAATAATTTTGGTTTTTATAAAATTAACTTTTAAATTGTGATCATTTTACCAGTCTAAAGTTTTGTTAAGTAAGAAATTCAGATTATCGTTGATATCATTATTGTTATTGTTGTGGCATGAGGTAAGTAAGTAGATATCTGCGAACAGAATGCAGGGCTCCACCATAATCTTTGGAAGGTCGTTTATGCAAGTCAAAAACAGAAGAAATCCAACTACGCTTCATTGAGGTATAGATGCGTTTAAAATCTAACAATCGGAGCGTTCACGTGTGATGTTTCTACTATCATCAAAGTATTCTATTTCTACAAACTGGCGCCTATCTTTCAAGTATGTTAACCATATGTGCGCAGATTTTCCTACCTACATACCTACCTAACGTACTTTGTTAATACCCGTTTAAGTATAAACCATTTATTGTTAAGATATTTATCGTTTAATCTTCTTAAGTTCTTTTATATACAATTTAATAATTTCTTTGGATAAGACATACCTTCTTTAGGTTAGGCAATATGAAGTTACACATTGGCCGCGGCCCAACAAATGCCAGCGAAAGCTTTATTGCTGGTCTTTATTAGTTCTATCTGAACGGCTTAAAAATATCAACGATCGTTGGCGTGACCTGATAATCCATTGCTTCAAAATAATACAAAAATAAAAAAATATATCTAACGCAGTGTGCACAGAAGCCGAAAAGTAATCAGACAGAATATGAGAGCGAGCACTGTGCTTTACTTTTACGGAATCAGGTCTCAATCAACAGTCGTTTCATGGGTACCCCACTGTTGGGTATGGGCCTTCCCTATGGATGGTAAAGGAAGAAGGACCATGAATACTGACTGCAGGAAGTGCTTTCCAAAATACGATGGAATTCAAGATCATAACTATTTTATCACTCTACCTATGGTTGGCCGACCATGCTTAAATTTCGACGACCATAGACTAGACGCTCTGTAGGTACCCAGAGCACGAACTTTGACAGATCCGATTCGTATCGCCAACGTTAAAGCTTCAATGGAAACTAAGCAGCGCTTCTACCGGATGAAACAACAAACTAGCTTGTTCTACTTGGCATGACGATAAAAATATTTTCTAGCTAGTTGTTCTTGCTTGGGATGATTATTGCGTCAAATATAGTTTACATGACCACGAAGATATTTAAACGTACCTTAAATAGCAAATGAAGTTTGCAGAATGGAATTAAGCATAAATTCAGACATTTGCCCCACCGGAATTAAAACTCTAATGTAGGTAATCTAAAAGTTCACACCGATAATTAAAAGCGTAATTTATTGTTGAAAAATTAAAAGTCTCTAAGTACCTATTATAAATTTGAGATTTTTTCTGCTGCATACTCGAACAGAAAAAGACGAACTTTAGCAATCCTTGGATTCACCGCGCGGGAGCCGAGTGCATCGTGTAGCAGAGAGAGAAACTCCGAGCAGTTCCCAGGACTTACGACCCAGGTTTAAGGAGATGCGCATCAACGCTCACCTACACTGCTCGAGTTGCCCGCCCTCCCTAGCCAAATTTGATAGAAGACTATTAGTGCAGCCTTAGTTACTCGTACTAAAATTGAACTTACTGCATGCAGTATACTCGACGTCTCGATGATAATATACGAACGTATCAGAATTAATAGGGACATTGACTCTAGCCCTGCATTCCCTTATCCATTACAAAATGTCGGTAACGGTGACGCGGTGTGTTGCATGCTCGGCTACCGACACTCCGTCACACACGGCACGTGTATCGCCTACTTATGTTATGTTGTACAGATAGCCACATCTTTTCTCAATAGATCGTGAATCGTATGTTAAGCTATATAAAGCTCAAAGTCAGTCAAATTGTACTGTTTGGGTAACTTGACAGTGGTGGTCTGTAAACGCATAATATGAACTATTCAATAGCAACCATTTCAAAAGAGAATCATCGAGAACACAAAAATGTTCTTGTAAGAAAACAGTTGAGTTCGAAAATGTAACGATGTCTTAACATTATGTTGGATACTGTAATGTAACATAGGTAAGTATGATGGGCGGAGAAAATTTTTTGTATCGTTATTCGCCAGAATGCTTCTCCTTCGTATTTTTTAACGATGATTTAACTTGTTAACGGTAATCCTGTCATTATGTAAAACTGATTAACACTAAATACTCGCATGGAACTTTGTACGCATTGTTCGATCAAAGGACGAACATTTTCTTTCCTCCTCCACCACAGGAAATAACATATTTGCTATGAAGACCTACTGTGAGACTGTGACTGTCGGACCGCATAACATAACGATTCCAATGTAACATGATTTTAGTTCCTGATATAATAGGAAAAAGTTCTTCATTATTTCTTCAAAATATAAAGAGCAAGAAATACAATGCAAACCTTAAGTGCTTTTAAAACAATTTGTGCAAATAAAACATTAGTTTTAATAATTTGATGTCTAGCCTACAGAAAAGGTTGCTATAAAGTCTTGCAAATCGGCATAAATATTTCCAATAAAACAGTTATATGCTCTTCATTCAGACGTTTAATTGTCGGCTCAGATTATTTAAAGTCAATAGAAATTAGTGGTCATCGACCTTTACCAGTGACATAAATACATATAACAATACCATTTTTACCAAGTGCAATGCTTAAACAGTATGAATATGACCCCGAAAGAGGTCCTATTGTGGCGGCAAATGGAGTACGTGTCGAATCAGAAGCAAGTAATTGAAAAGGCGATGGAGGACAATAACGGAGCTTGCAACCTGTGCTCGTACCCGTAACTAAGGTAGTAGTACTGGGAATACTTGGACTTTATTATGTATTTCATTCAATAAGAGATGAATGAGCACATAGTTAAAATACGTAAGGTATGGTAGCTTCATTCTGATAACGTTATCATCATCAGCCTATCAGTCACTGCTGGAGCACAGGTCGGGATGAAATAGGGAGAATAGGGCATGAACCACCAGCCGGACCCAGTGCGGATTGGTAGATGGTAACGACTGCAGATGCAGCTAAGACCAACAGCTTAAAGTGCACGTAGGAGTTGGAGATAATAATGTTTATTAACCGACCTCTGCGAAAGTTGCTCAACTTGCACGATCGTAGACCAAACGATCTAACCACTGCGACATTGAGCTTCTCATTCTGATAAATAAAACAACATCTATATATTGTAATACTGTAAAAAAATACACTAACCATTGCTGTATTTTAATAAAAAATACAGAAAACGCCGATTCATAATGTTCAGATGAATAATATTGTTGGCATTCGTTATAATTTTATTCAATCATTTATTCAAAATAGGTTTCAAATAATATTATTAAATAAGTACATATTTTATTCATAACGATAATATTTTAAACCGAATATTCACAGATTTTTTTTATTTGTATTTTAATTACTTTAGTCGCTGGGCGACTATGTCAGCCTATATTGGTGATAATAATTAAACTATAAATTAACTATTGATACCTTATTCTAAACAGTTTTATAATTAAGTTCTACAACTTAATAGCTACTTTTGAAGTCGGTTCAGACAAGATACTATTGCATAATCCCACATCTCTAAGGTTCCCTTCGACTTCCAGTATCCACCTACTGTTTAGTCATATCCATACCAAGAAGGAAGAAACATCGTTGTAGAACAAAACGGACGAGCTGCGGGGAATGAACTATTATGGCCACCTAAACTCTCACTCGTGTGATGCTGATATACTTTCCTGTGTGTTGCGCCGACGCGCTGCTCGCTGCGTGATCTGACTGCGTGCGTGCAGGTGAAACAACAATATTGTGTAACAGCCGAAATGCATTATTATCCTGCGATGCAAAGGAAATACGTCACTGTACGGACATAGTTTGTTTCAAAATGTTGTGCTTAAGTACCACATTTAAATCCCTATTATAACAAAAAATTATGTGGACGGACCATACTTCTGAAGTGAAACTTCTTTTGTTAAACAACTAAAATCGCTTTAAATGGCTGTAATGAAATATTGAAAAGTTCCCGAAGAAATGTCAGCGCAGGTGATCCACACTGTATATCTAGGGGAATTACTGACTACGATTTCGCGTATTTAGCGTCCCCAATTGCGACTTTGCCAGGTCGGTCATGAATCAGGAAACCAGCCATGTGGCTTCTTATAAGTATTTACTTAGCAATCATAAATATATTTTAATATAAAACACCAACCATAACAATAAAAGTGATTACATTTCCATGTTTTTTGTTTTT